CAACTTTTCAACCCCTGCAACTTCACGGATTGAAACTTTGTTTTCTATAATTAACATTGCTAGCTTGCAATACTAATCATAATAATCATGCTCCCACTAACATGATGATTATCAGCATAACACTTATGCTCCCACTAGCTCTGACACATTTCCAGAAATCTGTTGGACTTCTGAAATTTAGATTCATACATCCTTTCTTAGATAAATCACATGTGTGTCTAAACAATTTTCAGAACTATGAAAAGGGATGCCGTAATCATAGTCTCAATTGCTTAGGCATTTGCCATTTCTCACAAGTCCATGTTAGTGTGCCGGTTAACCACACGCGCTCCACTAATGACTTTTGAAAATGCAAATGACACAATTGATATCTACTTAAAATCTATTTAGTGAAAGCGTTTCCTCACCATCATTTTCATGAATCGGAGAGAAACCTTATGACACTTAGATTTTATAGTGTATGAGTTCCTATCCATGCGAATTTGTCAAAACCATAATCACAAGATAAGGTTAGTGACAAATTCAGCCCTACATGGATTAAACTTATTCAATCTTAGTTTCTTGTCACCTTGGTAGCACAAGGCCCACCAATGCTTCCAAGTTGAACTCTGATAACTCACATGCAAATTCAACTTATTTGAAGTAGGTACAGAAATAAGAATTATGTCAACACGATAGGTTGCAAACCTTAAGTCGTGTGCTAGTGATAAATTACAGGTTTCACTCTTGATTAAATCTTAAAACTCTTTCAGGATCTTTAAGGCTCCCACTGTCCCTTGACATATAAGTTTTTCTAGTCAAGAACCATTCCTTGACAAAACAAATATTCAAGGGATAGTGCGGATTCTTATCAAGACTAACACTTCACACAATTGGTCTTAGTTGGTCTTTGTCTCATCCAAGACATCACAACTTACCAATCTCAAATGTACAAGAGTAGAAAACATTTTACTCTTACATTTGATAAGTGTTTTATACCTTACTTTATGACATGTCACTCAATGTTACAATCTTGGAGTGTGACTCTAAGACTTGTATTGGAACGAAGTATGATTCATCTTCTTGATTTAACCATTTCAACAATTTCAAGATCCCTTCTTCTTAGTCATAAGAATGCACTAAGACTTTCTTAGAGAACAAATTTTGATATGGTTTCTTAATCATTAAGATGATCACAAAGCTGATACTAAAGTACTCTCCCATCTTTTCAGATTTGAGAAACTTTTATCTTTCTGCCTAATTTGATTCTTCTTATTCGTTTTGTCATACATTGTATCCTTTCCAATGTTACAAATTATACTTAACCTTATAAGTATAATCATATTTACTAATCTTTAGTAAATCATGACAAATCAATCTTTGTGGTGGACCTTGACCAGCGCACACCCAGTGTACCTAATTCCTTAGTCCTTCAATTGACTCACATATACATGTGATCAAAGAATTAGTCTTAATTTTTAAAGATGAAAATTCTCATTCATCATACAATACAACTTGTATGATTCCAAGTTTCTGTCCAATTGAAACTTGGGTGATGAAAAACTTTCTTCATTTGGTAAATTCAGACACTACCACAAATGAAAAATCAAATCCACTTTCCAAAATTGCTATTACTGGAAACATATAAGCAACAATTTTCCACCGATGCCATTGTAAGGATATTTTTAAAATAAATAAAATTAAAACCTCTTTTTTTTTCTTTTTTTTTAAATCTTTGCGGAAAAACTTATCCTTACAATCCACATGAAAACCTTGTTGTTATCTATTCACAAGCAATATATTATAATTCTTAAGCAACAGCTCAAAATTCTGATTACCGAACCATGCGATCGAAACCCATCTTCGCAATCAAAATCAGCATATACTTCTTTAAGCTTCCTATCTTTTCTTTTGATTCTTAAAACATCACCATGTGACCCAGTCACATCATGTATCAAGAATCTCATAATAGAAACTTAATAGAGTTATACAGTGTATTTTACTCGAAGTAGAGTCAAACCTCTTGACTTGATCAACCTTATGACCTTTCAGGTGAATAGGGCAGCTTCGCAACCAATGCCCCTTTCTTTGGCAATATAAACATATGGACCCTTTGATAATGGCACATGAGACTATCTCAGACTTAGCCTTTCTCTTTACCATTTGGTCAACCGAGTTGACTATGGCCGATCCCTTTCCATTGGGAAGAGAAATGCTTTTCTAGATATCCAATGCTACCATTGCCAATGTCCATTTAAGGTTTGGGAAGTTGATCTTCTAACAAAATTTGCTTTACTAGTGTTCCAAATCATTGCTGATTCCACAGCACAAAGCAAATAGATAAGATCATTAAGGCTCGTGTCATAGTCTGTCTCATAGTAGTCCCAAAGTGACCCGCTATGTTACTAAGAAAGTGATTGAACATCCAACTTTCACGAGACTTGACACCCAACTCTCCCGTCTTGTCAATATGTGACTACATCTCCAAGATGTGACCACACCAAGACCTTAACTTGCCAATAGGGCTTGAGTGACTTTAAACTTTTCAAGAACTTGTGGGTGAGGGAGAATAATTGGAGGAGATAAAGGAAGTGAAGCATGATGTTGAGGAACATCATCTTCAAGAGATTTGGGAAGATCATAAATGTCTAAACCAGACATGTTTTGGGAGATATTCAAGATAGTTGATTTAAAGTCCTTAATATGACACCCAATATGAAATATTAAGGCTAGGACCCAACACAATATTTTATAACTTAGAAGAGGGATGCCGTAATCCAAGCTATAAAATATTTGAAGGTAGGCGAATGACGATTCACCAATTTCCACCATGAAAAACGAAATAATTTATTAGGTTTTAATTGGATTTGAAATTCCTAGATCTTTTGAGATTCATTGAACTTTTCAATGGCATGTTTCAATCTCGAGTGTGCCCTCTCAAATTTTGTGACTGGGATGCCGAGGATCACAAAACAAGGTGTGAATAACCATACCAATTCACTTGGTACCCTTAATATTATCACCTAATCAATGTGCCGGTTAACCACACACGCTCCATTGATCTATGAAAAACATTAAGTCACCCTTCGTGGTCCTTACTAGTCCAAGTTAGTGTGCCGGTTAACCACACACGCTCCACCAACGACTTGGTAAGGTACAAAGTGTGAATTCCATGGGCTAGCACCAAATTCACATTTTTCCTAAAGTAACTAAGATTGGGAATTATTAAGATTTTAGTTACCTTAGTATTTATCATTAATACTTTTAATGAAGGGAGAATTTAAAGTCATTGTCCTACCCGTTCGGCTAACGACCCTCCACCGATCAAGCAAGCGGTGGGTGAGAGTATACACCCATTAAGTCGCCATTTTATAGGCAACAACCTTATACCCACCTTATAGACCGGCTTCGTGAATGAGGCCTACTAACGGTAAAACGACTTATTCTTATACATATATATAATAATTAACCATTATGTTATAAATAGTATAAGGGTTGAATTTTAACTATTAAAACTCTAAGGTTTGGAATTAAAGTTTATTAAAGTGTGTGAAACTTTACAAATTCCAAAACTTGAGGGCAAGTTTTGTAACTTTGCAAAACTCTTCATTTCATAACTTATGAATTAAAGGTTCATAAAAATGAAGACTCTTCATTTTCATGTAACTTATGTGTTTTAAGTGTGTGTTAAATGAAAGTGACCTTTGGTAATCCATAACTTGAGGATAAATTATGGACTCCATTAAAACACATAAATGATAAAGAATTAATCCTAAACAATTCAGCAAATAATTCCTATCATTTTCTAAATTCATAAGAACATGAACATGATCATCAAAATTCAAGAAATATATGAACACATAAAATCATGGAATTTTGATATATGCTATTGTAAATGGATTAGAACAACCATTACACCAACTAAATAAGTTTTACAACACCAAAACAATTTAGGGTAACGTTTCTAGTCCATTTCCAGCAGCAAAAGTCGAGATTCTGCATTCTTTCGATCCTACTCGCCGAGTGCACGAACGGACTCGTCGAGTAGGTTGAAGTTTGCCTTGGACTCGGCGAGTCCCCCCAATGGACTCGGCGAGTCTAGCATGCAGACAACAACGATTTCGATTTTTTTCACTATTTTGCATCAAGTATCAAACAAGCAAGCCTAGGCTCTGATACCACTGTTGGGTTTTGAGCAATCTAACACTTCCTAAGTGTGCATGCAACCCTAATAAACCTTGGATCTATGTTTGTCTAAATACATGCAAAATAATAATTTTCCAAGGTTTATAACCTATCTAACATGGCATGGGGAACATTTCAACATAAAAGAGTTAGAAGAGATTACATACCTTTTGGTGTGTTGGGTTCTTAGGAGTTTGAGGGCCAAGCACCAATAGTGTGAATGCCTCAAATGGAATCACAAACACCACAAACTCTTGGAAAACTTTGAGAGAGTATATACACCTTGTATAAATCGGCCACACACATGCACACACACACTAGATCACTAGCTTTCTCTTAGGCCTCATTTCATGCTCCATAAGCATGCTTATATAGTATGCATGGTTAGGGTGAAACCCTAATAACCCATGTCTTTTCCTTTTCCAAGGATCCATGGGTTAAAAGCTCCATGGATCATCCATGGACTTCCACATAAGCCTAGCCCATTAACAAATGAGTATTAGCCCACACTATATAAAACAAATAGCCCATAATTTAATTAGTATTCCTTTTAATCTCTAAATTAATCCATGATTAATTTAAGACTAAAACTAATTAAATAACGTAACTTCATATTAATATATTATAACTCATAATATATTAATAAACATATGTGTATAACTCTCATAAAATTATCCATAATAGTTTGGATGAGATGCAACCCAAATGGACCATGCCGGTCGGGTCAAGTATATACCAAATAAGTTATGGACTTAGACACCTTATCCAACAGTTGGGTGATTCACAAGATGCTCAAAAACTCCATGAGCAATAGTAGTCAACTTCATTACGGATGAATGGTTTCGATAATTGTTGAACACCTTGGTCTCCGCCTTCTTAATAATCCCATTGACATAATACCAGGCCACACTCACCTATCCGTTGATGCTATGGGGAATATTCATATCTTTCACCGCAAGCCAAATGGGGACGTTCATTGGACCATTGATGGTCAACAGTACCTGCATATTGACAGTCGAAACAAGAAGATACTCACCATAGCCAACTACATCCCATCTACTAATTGGACTCTTAGGTCCAATTTGGGTATTGTTATTCCCCGTAGACCCCCTAACACCACTTGCCACCCCTCTATTGCATCCTCAGGTGCCTCCAGTTTGGCTCTCCCCATTCCTTTTCCTAAGCACAACATTTATATGGGTGATTTTGCATGATGGAACATCCACTACACGAGCTTTCAAGAGGAGGTAGGCGAGATATAGATCGGTGTCACCAAGCACACCTCTGAATTTCAGGACTACCGCAACATACTGGAGGAGTGTTGGGCCTAACAGAAGGTGCGATGGGCCGAATTCGATCAACGATGGCCCGCACAACAACACAACTACAACATGAACTATTTTATGAGTGATCTCCATCGTGCCCTCGCTTTATCACCGCAGCCACATGCACCACCATCCCATCCATAGTGTCCCCTACTATCCTACTGATTATCAGCCCTACTACCCTCCATAGTACCCGCCTCATCCACCTTCGCTCGACCCTCAATAGGCTGGCTATGCCTCTTCCCAAGCATCGAAGATGATGCTATATTTTATGCTTGGGGAGGGGCACCCATCCGTACAAATGGATCCCTTTGCATGTAGGTTGCAGTTTTGTACGTATTGCATATTTTTAACCTTCTGATTTTCTTTTTCTCTCGTATTCTGCATTTTAAAATTTTAAAATTAAAAAAAAACATTTTCTAATTTTTTTCCTAATTTTAATATATTTGCATCTCAATTTTTTTTTGCATTGCATAAATTCCAAAAATATTTTATTCTATGTTTATTTTTGATCCAATCCAAGGTAACCTAATCTTCTGAAAACAGTTGAGTTGGTAAGTGAGCCATATGCCTTAAGATTAGACTTGCTATTTTTATTGAAAATCTCAAAGAAAACTAATCACACATGAACACATCGCCCGAAGCTACTCATGTAAAACAGAAAATGAAGAGGGTTTCAACACCGAAGCATAATGACATGTACAAGTCAACCTTTGGGACACATGACTGGTCTTATAATAGTAAGTTCTCAATTAGACCCAAAATGCCAAATTAAAAAAATAATAAAAAAACATAAAACTTGAATGCCTAGAGCCTTCTAGCACTCTAAAAAGTCCTTTCTGTGTATTCCGTTCTAAGTATCTTGCTTGGGGAAATAGTTTGCCACTATACTTACGGGTCTTTGCGTGTTGACATCAGTCCCCCTAAAAATGTTTTAGAAGCCCCTCATGGTAATAGACCATGAGATAGATGTTCCAACAACAGAAAAATCAAGGATGAAAATATAAAGAAATAAGCCTAGAAAATGAATTAAAAAGAGTATTATGTATTGTCTTCACTTTTATACTTAAAAAAATTATTAAGTTAATTTGTTAACTTTGGGACTCGAAATAGTAAACTCCAAGGGGTGTTCTACACCTAATCGCCTAAAGTTGAATTGTTTGTGACTATCTAGGTTGAAAGTTCGCCTGTGTGTGTGTACAAATATTCAAATAATGATATTATGTGTCCTTTGAGGTTCAGACATGTATACCCGAGGTATTTCTTTAAATCTAGCACACTAAGGTCACCTGGAGTGGATGTGTTGGCTGGAAGTCCGTTACACGGATTTCAAAGAAAGCCATGAACTTTCTTTGTAGGAAATATATAATTAGATGTTATGTATGTATATATATATATATATATATATATATATATATATATATATATATATATATATATATATATATTTCAAACCTTTTTAATAATCGATTTATACAAACATTATGTCATAATTCCCACGTAGAAATCAAATCTCTAAATGATATTAAAAGATAAATCTTATGACATCATCTAAAACAATCTGGATCGTTAATTGTGTTTTCTTTATAGGTTTTACACCCTTAGATCAATTTGCTTACGTCACCTTGATCAAACAATATATATATATATATATATATATATATATATATATATATATATATATATATATATATATATATAATTCATAGTTTAATTGAATAATGTGCATCACTATATGTACTCAAGTTATTAAAAACGCTTGGCTACCAAAAGATTCACTTGGACTAGAACTTGAATCTATGACATTAGGAATGACTATTAATTACTTTGACTAGTGTAAGTGGTTTGAAATATGTAACCGATGTGGGTAAATTTTAGGGAATTTTTTGAAAAACATTGTTGTTAATGAACAAATACTTAGAGTTGGTCATTGTCATGTTTTCTAAAATAAAGATGATTGGGCATATTTTTCATCACATCTGTTTTCACGAGCTTAAGATTATAATTTGTTCCAAGTGCTGACCCAATATCAGTAAGAGTGAGCAAGTGTTGTGACTTTTGATTCTGTTGAGTTGTGTTACAAAGTGGCTAAAACTCTTGTTTTTACTGTTGTATGATTTTATGGGACTAATGCCAAGTTGACTCAATGCACGACATGTACATTATCAACTGTGCTGCAAAAATAAGGTTAATTGGATTGGATCCCTTTCATGTTTGACTTGGTTATTGTTTAAGCTCCAAAAGTTTGGATTTTTAATTTTTGTTCTTTTTCTTTTGTTCTCTCCAGTCTAATTTTTTCTTATTCTTTCTAGGGGACAAGAAAGGTTCAAGCTTGGGGAGATTTTATCGGTGCATTTCATGTACCCATTTTGTAATTTTATTTCATAAAATTGCATTACATTTAGGATTATTCTCATGCATTTTACATGTTTTTCAGGATTTTCCATGATATTATTTCACTCGCACACTTTTCGGATATTTTAGGGACTCTTGGATGTGGGATCTTATGTGACGAGGTGAATAAAAGATGTGGACAATATTCAGGACTTACGGAGCACCGGGAAGGAAGATTTGAGGATTGTGGTCATTCAGTGAATTACACGGTCGTGTAAGCTATAGCCATGAGTTTACACGGGCCGTGTAATCTAGCATACTTCAACAATGTACTTTGAAGACACAACCAATTTGAGCACTCTACTAATTGCATTTACACAAGCCGTGTAAATGACATTGTTAATTTACATAGGCTGTGTAAACATGGAGATGGGTTTAAAAGCAGTTTCACATCTTTCTTAAAGACCGCAACCGATTTGATTTTATGTTCTGTTGAATTTTGGAGCATTTAGGGAGGTTTTCTTAAAATGTTTGTAGTGTATTAACACTTGGGAACATTTGGATTTCATTTTGTAAGAACTTTAATTTCAGTTTCTAGGTTTGTGATTTTGTTCTAGTCATGTTTGACTAGAAATTTAGTTTCTCCAACTTTCTGTCTTGACTTCTTACTTGTTATTTCAATCATGTGACTTGATGCTTGATTTCAATTTCTAACTAGTGAATTTCTTTTTGTTTCAATCGAACGTTTGATTCTAATTGTTATTTTTATTGGCCATTTGAATTAGGGTTAGCTCATTCAAGTTATCTAATTACAAAATCCGTAATTGTTTTGTAAATCAGACTAGGTAACAAACACTAAACTGATTTCAATTTAATGAATTTAGTGTAAGTCTTATTCACACATTCTTACACTCCCGAGCTTATGAGGAGTATTAAGTGTTGTTGGGAACAGTCACATAAATATCATCGTAACCCTTTGATTTCTATCTAAAAGCTTGTTTAGACTTAAATTAGAGGATTAGGTTACTTTCATATAGCTTGTTTTGAATTTGACAATGTGATGAATGGGAAGTGTTATAGCTTGTTAGCACTTCCAAGTACCAACTTAGATAAAATGGAACTAATATCTTCTCATCCATGGAATCACATTTCTAAATTGTCTTGTAGAGTTGGAGTCCTTACAAATCTTGAATTTTTTTATTTAATCGATCATTTAATTATTGCTTTATTATCTTGTTTAAAGCATTGCATATAAACTCCCCACTTCTGTGTCCATTTTCGTACCTTATGCAAAAAGGTATAAGAATTTGTTCTGTGTCTATGTGGATCAACACTACTTACCTTTTATTACATTTTTAGTGCAAAGAAGTAGTGTTTTGGAGTCATTTTGTACCCCTTTATTTGTTGGGTTTGACATTCCTAACACTGTACTGTGGACTTCTTTTGATGTTGGGCCACTTTTAGAGTCTAGGGTTTTGGTCCTCGAGTATTTGTAGGATTTAGGCGATTCAAGGGAAGGGTAAAATGGTCTTTTACCCTAGGATTCGGGATTAGTGAACTAAAGTCTCGGTTTTGATTCATGACCCAATTATTAATTTGGGTATTATTTGATCATATATTGTGGGGATTTTACGGGTCAACAATCCGAGCATCTATTTGATTGACATAAAGTGCTTGGTCGGTTAAAGGCATCAATGCTGGCTCATGGTTTATTGATATTTTACGCTAGCTGTCTGTGTGACCCTTGTATGTGTTGTATGTGGTATATGTATGTTGGGTGGTGCCCAATATTAGGTGTGGCCTGATGAGTGTGTTGGGTGGGGATCATTGCATGTTAGTGACATATCTGTATTGGGTGGGGCTCAATCTCGTGCAGGGACCGATAGATGGCAGTCATAGCCCATTATATGTATGGTGTGGGGTATTTTGGGGAACTCACTAAACTTTCTTCATACATTTTTTTTATGTTTCAGGTACTTTCATTTCAAAGGGGAAGAGCTCGGGATGATCACATTTCACACACCATGATTTTTCACTTTATTGAGTCTGATGTACTTTTGAATGATTATTGATATACTCTTATTTTCTTATGGTTTGATCAACATGTTTGGTTGATGGTTTATTTAATATAAAAATAAAAAATTTTGGTTTTGAGATTTTGGGATGTTACAAACTGAAATACCTTAATAAAAAAAATGTACCATAGTTTATAACATCTACTGATAACACTCCTGAAACTAGTGGTGATCCTTACAAACATGAATCTTCCCCCCCCCCCCCCCCGGCACCTCGAGTCATTCCACCAAGCATAACCATCATCTTGCACATAAAATGCCTCAGGAATTACTATTCATTATATGTAACTGAAGTAACTTTTCTAGAAATAAAATTATGACCTTGTTATGGTCTTGGACCTTGATCCCTAGATCCTTTTCCAAAATTGCAATTTCCAGAGGTATTTGCTGAAGGGTATAGAGCATTCTAACACTCCTATGGTGTAATGAAACCATAGATGATTTGGATCTATGTTTTCTCTAATATATATGCAAAATTAG